GGAAGCCTGCCTAAAGCATGGTGGGCACAGATTTGTGAACTTTATGCCTTCAATCAAGCTTTGAAATTACTGAAAGGCAAAGAAAGGAATATATATACTGATTCCAAATATGCATGGGGAGTGGTACATGTATTTGGGAAAATACGGGAAGAGAGAGGAATGATGAATAGTAAAGGAACCACCTTATTGCTCCAAGTATTGGAAAACTTGCAGTTACCAAGAGATATTGTCCATGTCAAGGGACATCAGACAGGGGGTTCCCTCAAAGCTCAAGGGACTCGTTTGGCAGATGAGGAAGCTAGGAGAGCTGGAGAAATGGGTCTGGTAGAAAAGTGAACAGTTTTTCGTCTTGATTCCTTCCTTCCCTCCCTCCGAGTCTAGACTCTCCTCCCTTAATAGAGGAGAAAAAATTAAAGGCTCAGAAGTTAGGAGCCATATTGGATGAAAATGGGAAATGGCTACTCCCAGATGGCAGAGAAGTCATCAATCAAGCCGTGATGAGGCAGATTCTACAGCACCTGCACCACAGTAGCCACTGGGATGTCCAGAACATGTGTGACCTGGTGCTTACACGATTTGTAACCCTCGGGATCTGTACACTCGTCAGATACTGGACGGGTGTATTGTCTTGTCGGCGAAGGACAAACAAGTTCGCCCAGTGCCAAAACCCAAAGGGAGGACGGCCTCCGGGAATCAGACCTTTCCAGAGCATCCAGGTGGACTTTACTGAGCTACCTCCAATCAGAAGACTGAAATACCTCTTAGTGGTGGTAGATCATTTGACTTCTTGGGTAGAAGCCTATCCCTTGACACAAGCTACTGCCTCAGCAGTGAGCAAAATTCTCTTGGAATAGATAATCCCAAGGTATGGGGTAGTGGAAAGGATAGAGTTGGACGGACTAAGGGACACATTTTACATCCAAAGTCTTACAATCAGTCATGAAGGCCGTAGAAATTAGTTGAGAATTTCATACTCCCTGGCACCCTCCTTCCTCTGGAAGAGTGGAAAGGATGAATCAGGAAATAAAGAGGCCGCTCATTAAGCTGAATTTGGAAACTGAAAACTGCGGTGAGGATCACCACCAGCCAGTCTATATCGCCACCATGTTTGATAGTTGTCCGAGTTCATCTTATCCTGGCAGGAGAGCGAAGTTCCATTAGGACACTGAATAAGGGGTACAATTGCTCATAATCTCCTTTACCGTGAGTCGGTAAGTCCAGTCACAGGTACTTTTCCCTAGCCATGATCCCTTATTGGTTTGATTCAAACAACAGCTCCCCATCCTTGATTCAGCTAGGGGCCATTGATGTTTCTCTTCACCCTTCGAGAAATCTGTCTCACTCCTTCCTGTAGATTTATTACTCAGCAACCACCGAGGGTCTAGTGGGACAGGGACTCGGGGTCAGCTTTCTAATCTTTGTGGACCCCCACAAATCCAGCAGTTAGACACACTGAATTGGCTAGCAGTGGCACTTACTAATTTTTCAAACTGATTTTCCTCCACAGGAGGGAACTGTGTCAGGCATCCTATTCCCACTGGAATGTATAAGGTTAAGATTATGCCATTTACAAGCAAAATGGTTGAACTCATGAGGGAGCAAGCAAAGAGAGCTGCTAATATAGAAAGCTAATATGGGGATTGCAATTAGCAAGAACAAAGCAACATATATAACGTTATCATCCATGAATTGAGACCCTCCTCAATTTGACATTCAGGCCCTCTTGGGCCTCTGCTGTCCACTTAGTTGGAGAATCCACCAGTCCTTTGACCTGAGTATGGTGCATCCACCCCAATTCCATTGTTCTTAAGGCAGTGTCAGAGGTCAGCAGGACCTGGTACAGCCCTTCCCAAGATGGAGTAAGTTTTTCCTCCTTCCAAGTTCAAAGCAGCACCCAATCACCAGGTTGGAACACCAGGGAAGTCCCAGGGATGGTATCTGAGCAATAAGGCCTTTCTTCTATGATGAAAGCAAAGTTTTGGCAAGGGACTGTATGAATTCTCTTAGAAACCTATCCTTGCAGTTCAAAGTTATATCTAAGTTCCCACTTCCTCCCACTGGGTACAGGTAACCATAAAAAATCTCATATGGAGAAAGCCCAATATCTTTTAGGCTTAGTTCTTACTCTTAATAAAGCTAAAGGTAAATCACTAGACCCTCAGTGGTGGTTGAGTAATAAATCTATAGGAAGGAGTGAGACAGATTTCTGGAAGGGTGAAGAGAAACATCAATGGCCCCTAGCTGAATCAAGGATGGGGAGCTGTTGTTTGAATCAAACCGATAAGGGATCATGGCTAGGGAAAAGTACCTGTGATTGGACTTACCGACTCACAGTAAAGGAGATTATGAGAAATCGTATCCCTTATTCAGTGTCCTAATGGAACTTCGCTCTCCTGCCAGGATAAGATGAACTCAGCAACTATCAAACATGGTGTCAATATAGACTGGCTGGTGGTGATCCTCACTGCAATTTTTCTCCAAAAGGGGGGGGCCACCCACGCCTTACGTAAGGAAAGTAAGGAAGTTGGCACCTTGACCCTTCCACTCCTATCTTGGGCATGGCACAACTCAACCTGGTCTGGTTATTTCAACACCTTTTGGAGCCAAACAGGATCTCTGACTCCTATATTGAGACCTGCACTTGGAAAGAAAATTATCAACTATAGAGGTGTGGGTATAAAACCAACTCTAAAGTAGCTTACAGAGGGGGACCCTTGGGGGACAAAGATATGCAATATTTCCCTGCAACCACTAATACTACCAATTAGCCCTTAAAGGACATTACTGGATCTGTGGGTTGACTGCTTATACCCATTAGCTGGTGAATTGGATTGGGAGTGTGCTATATAGGGCCAGTTAGGCCCAAATTCTTTTTCCTCCCTGGGAAAGGAGGAGACCTTTTAGGTATAAAAGTATATGGTGATTTGAACAGACAGAAGAGAACCATAGACACTTCCTTGACAAGCACTGGGGATGCTAATGAGTGTGGAGACACATGGCCCCCAGAAAGCATTGTCACAGAATATGGGCCGGCCACTTCGGCAGAAGATGGGAGTTTGGGTTACAGGACCCCTGTATCCATGTTAAATAGGCTCATTCGGCTCCAAGCTATGGTAGAGATCATCACCAATCAAACAGCCAGGGCCCTACACTTATTAGCAGATCAAATGACGCAAAGCCAAGAGGCTATTTTACAGCATGGACTGGTGCTAGACTATTCTTGGCAGAGGGGAGGGGGGAGTATGTGGAAAGTTAAACTTGTCTACATGCTGTGTGAAAACTGATGATAATGGAAAAATTGTAAAGGACATAGCAGATGATATTGGAAAAACTGCACGTCTCCCAGTACAAAACTGAAAATCTTTTAATTTCTCTTGGTCTTGGTTTGGTGGCAGCTGGTGGAAGCAGGTCCTTTGGTTTGTTCTTATTGCAGTCAGCGGGATAATACTCCCAGTTTGTCTCCCATGCATGATGCAGCTGATAACTAGAACAGTACAGGAAGCATTGTCCAGAATGGTCAGACGTGAAGGCAAAGCGGAGCGGTCTGTAAGGCTCATGATATTAAAAGGGCAGGGCTGGATTCCAGTAGAAACCAAGGAATGCCAGGACCCAGAAAGGAGGGATCTGATCCAGGAGGTATACAAAGAATGGTGTGAGGGGTCTTCAGAGAGTGATGAAGAGGAGGGATTGAGTGGTACATGTGTACCAGAATCAGTGAAGACCCCTCAGAGACATGATCCCTCCCTCCCTTTGCTGTGCAAGCAGAAATTTCCAAACTGCATAATATCCTGTTTACCTCACTCTGCAGCTATATGTAGCTATATGTTACTGTCAGCTGTAGATTAGAAGGTATTTTGGATCACTGAGCATCAAAATCTGCCTTTTTCCTGACATTTACCTCCTACATCATGGGGCTGGCTCACAGCAGCTCTCCAAAGCCAAGTGTTAAATTTTCAGGAATTTTGCAAGCCAGTTGTTAAACATATTGTTAAATATTATTATAAACTTACAATTAAAAAATAATCAAAACTCACAACTTCTGATTATTTTACTGCATTTTGCTATTTTTATAAACTTGAGATTTGGTGTCTCATATCTGTATATAATAGTAGAAATACTGTTGTGAGAAATACTAATACTAGAAAGTTAGGTTTCCACAGGATATTGCAGTTTTAAGGTGGTGTAAGAGCTTTTAGAAGAAGAAACTGGCTTAACCTCAAAGCTCCTGATAAAGGGGGCCCAGGCTGAAACCAGCTCAAAAACTCATCAGGGTCAGGGGACTTTTTACTAACACACATGCTTAAATTACCCTCATGCATATTATCTGACACACCCTAGGGAGGGATTTTTGCTCATTTAAATAACATGGGATATATTACAAGGAGGGAGAACGTGTTAAGGAGGAACATGGGATAGTCGATTCAGGAAGATTCTAACTCAGAAGAGTTCCGGACCAATCCCAGCTCTGAAGGGAGGGAGGGGCTGAGCTGGGCTAACAGTATAAAACTTGCTTGTGCGTCTCTCGAACCCGCCCACTTCTTGCAAGAGACTTAAAGATTCTTCTTTCACTCATGACTATGGGCCTGGAACTCAGCCTTGCTCTAGTTGGGAAGTGAGCTTGGTGGTTTCGTTTATAACACTGTTTAATGGTGTACAACTGTGCATCTTTGCCCTACTATTTAGTTACACATACTATTCAATAAATAAGTCCCTTCTTTGGAATCACACTTGGTTTTCAGTGGTGGGAGGCACTTCTTTGCTGAATTAGATAGTAACCAAGTATTTATGTTCTGATTTTGTGATACTGTTGTTGGCAATGGAATTATAAAAATTTTACAAGAAATAGCAAATCACACTTTAGTGTTAAAGGTATAAACTGAAAAACAAGATAAGTATTTTAGCTTAAAATTTGTAACTTCTAAAATTATATGAAGATCTTGTTCACAAATTTTATGTTAAATTGTTTTTTATGTTACTAACGTAACAAAATTATTTTTCAGATTCTGTTCCCTAAAATGCTGAAACTGTGAGCTTTTTTTTTATGCGAAGAACATGAGAACTGAAATTATAGTGGAGCATCAAAGCTAACACAAACAGATGTCATTGAAGAAAACCATCGTGTTTTTTAAAGGAAGAAATAGAAAATTTTGTACGTTTGAGATATTTTCAGAAAAGTATGAAGGCTTGAAATGAAAGAAGATAAATTAAGATATAAGGCTTGTTTGACAGTTCAACATTTAGGAGTGACAGAAGGAAAGCATGGGTATCCAGATTTAGCAGTTCCACAAGGCAAAATTACGTAGGCAAGCTTCTTTGTGGGGGGGGGGGGATTAAGGGAGCACACTATTTCTAAAGCCCCTACTAAAAGATTTATGAAAAGATTCTGTTAAGTTTTTTAGTACTATTTACAATGTAGTAGATCTTTGATATTGAAGAAGCAATGGAATAACTGCAAGATAAAATATAATAGAAAACAGGCAATTGGTTATCTACAGAATATACTACAGCAAGAACAGACAGGTGCCACCGTGTTTGGAGCACTGGGTCTGGAGTCAGGAAAACCTGATTTCAAATCTCACACATAACTAGCTGTGTGACCCACAGGCAAATTTGTCTCCTCATTTGTAAAATGAAGTTATCTCCACTTCCAAGGGTCGTTATGAAGATCAAATAATGAGACAAATAATATTTCAAAGATGAGCACTGAAGGGATTTTATTTCCAATGCTCAATTCAGTCAGCAACTGCACAGATGTTATTTATTGCTTTAAAAGAATTTGTATTTCAAATACATCATTGTTAAAGCCACACAATACATACTTGAAAGTAAACTTAATTCCATTTTATTTTGGTGGTGCTAATACAATGCTGGGAAATAAAGTTGTTAGAAAATTTCTAAAACGAGTTGATTTAAAAATTATTTCTGGATAAAATTCATCCTATTTGTTACCAATCTAATAAAAATCAAATTTATAGTTTAAAAAAATTGAAATTATTAAGATTGGGGTAATTATGGGACTGAGATGGGCAACCTGTAGTTTACTAGCTACTGCTACATGGTGAACACATACTACATTTTACTTGCATTTTTCTCTTACTTCTGGTTTGACAAATCAGTTAGTTACCTAACATTAATTTCTTGCAAGAGCTGCTTTAATAATTGACATTTTTGAGCAATTGTTATTACTTTCAACTGCGTTGTAATCACATTCAGAAAGTGTAAAAATTAGTATGCACCATAAGAACTTTGGAAAATCTAAAAATTGGTACTGGAAAGCATGAATCTCAAGTTGAAGGCTTAGGTCAGATAAGTTTTAAGAACATTATCATAAAAAACATTTTAATTTCATAAACATAGTAAATTTAATGCTCTTTCTAGGAATATTACTTGAAAATAATTCAAGAGATGAGCTTAATCTTTTACCTAACAAAATCAATTGGCTTCATGAAATTTACAATAAATATAATGATTTATAAGTTTTGTGTTACACATCTTTTATACTAGTTTGATTCATAATAAAATTATCAGCCTCTATATGCATACTTTTTGGGGGGAAGTGCATTCTTGTTGGAATTATTTGGGGGGTAGGAGGGAGGTCATCTAGCCCTCAACTTTTTCTTTTATGGATCTTCTGGCAATCCAGTGAAAGCTATAGATCCCTTCTCAGAATAATGGTTTTAAATGCAAAAAAAAAGAAAACCAATTATGTTGAAATAAAAAAAGTTTTATACAGGTACATATGTTTATGTATTTTTTTTTCCATCCAAATTCACACACGCTGGTAGGTCCATGGCCACCAAGTTAGGAATCACTGACCCAGCCACATAGCTGGGTCAACAGATACTCATTTTCTTGGATTTTCTTGACTATATAATTTAGGCCCAACTCATCTGAGTGACTTTCAGACAGGAGCATCTAGAACTCACCATCTATGTATAGGGAGTCTCTTCTATTTGAAGCAAGTGTTGGACATCCTTTGGATCCTATGTCCTATCCTATGTGACCCTTCTTGCCCAGGGCACACTGTTGCATTAGCTGGAACTATGGCAGTTGTCTGGGTAGAGGTGGTAACTGAAATTAGAGGCATAAAAGACTGCAAAGGGAAAGAATTTAGAAAGGGAAAATTAACAGTCCAGGGACAGAACCTTGAAAAACACCAACACAAAGGGCTCAAAAAGACCTGCTGTATCAGTGTGTAGCATTTAATACATCTAACCACCCCCTAATTTAGCTTGTAAAAAAACTTTAATAGGACTTCACATTATATGGCAGCTAACTAGTTGGTCCCCAGAATAATTCTATGTACTCCACCACCCACCCAAATTCATAGCCTCCAGTTGCCTGGGTACCACCTACTAAATTGCCCAGCTTTCAGTGTATTAATACATTTTCTAGTGTATTATATTTTTTCTTTCAAAGGGGATAAATTCATTAATTCAATTTCCTTAATATTAGGTAGAAACTGTAATGATTTGTCATCAGAAACAAAGCAGTTTTTATCTATGTAAAAATCTGTCTTTGGATTTTGCTATTACACCTATATTAAATCAGAATTTGGGTTTTCTGTTTTAAAATTGTATTAGAGCTTTATTGTAGTTCTCCACTGGCTTTCATTAGTGATAAGATTGAAACCCACCTGTTTGAATTTCCTGATTTTTTTTTTTGTTATCATACTCTACCAGTGTGGTGCCTAGTTATTTAACGGGTATAGACATCTCTTCTTCAAAATAGGAAGACTGAATGAAATTTCTCAAGGAAGAATGTGATTCAATTCCATTAAGTATTTAATTGTTTAATTTATCTTTTTATCCCCTTGTTTCAAAGAAAATACCTAGGGAAATTCATTATTTTCATATTTCTTGTTAAGACTAGGAATTAAAAGATAAAATCATAGGTCAGGCACAACTATTCTGAAGTCTCAGACTAGAGAAAGGAATACTGTCCTTCCTCCATGCCTCCCTCTCTGGAAGAAAAGAGAGTAAGGGCCAAACCATGGGCCTCCAAGTCCTTTCAGAGCCAAGAAAGGGGACGGAAGCAAAGAAGACCTCCTTGACTTCTGATGTTTTCCCTCAAGGATAGGCTAAGAGCCCAAAGTGCCTCAGTGGAGGGTTCTGCATTTTTCAGGGAGCCAAGGCAAAAACCACCAGGCTCTTATTACCTAATTTTTAATTCAGTACTCCATAAAATTAGTATTTTCTCTCTTTCTTGGGATTGATTAAAGTTGCCTGATGAATGCCAGTTATTTACAGATTCCATTAAGTTAGAGCAGTTTTGCCAAGAAGGCTGATGTTGGAATCAGAACCTCTGTTATTTCACAACTATAAAATCATTAACCCCCTCTGGGTCTCAGTTTCCTCATAAAATCAGGAGGGTCCAGATGACCTCAAAGGTCCCCTCCTTGTTTTAATAACTAAAGCCATGCTTCACTTTTATGGCATTAGCATTAAAAAACAGCGTCAGGAAGTGATTGCCAAAATGTTAAGCTCTCTTTAGGAGTAAAGTGGAGTAAAATTTTAGGAGTGGACAATCTTAATATAATATATAAAGTGTGTCTGTGTATAGTGCTTCACAAACCTTATTAAAGTGCTAATATAAAGGTTAGTTGTTAAAGTTCTCTAATTCTGATACTTCCATTTTCAAACCTCTAAACTAAAACCCAATTCTTAAAAAATTTCTTAAAGGGTTTTTTTTTTTTGACATAGCAAGACTTTTGTTTTTTAAAGGCTTAGGTACTTAAGATATTGTTATAAATGACATGGTGGGCATTTAAGATAAATTATAATTGTCCTATGTTATAAAAAGAGTTTAAACTTATTTGCTTCAAATATTCCTATAACAGGTATATTTCTGAGATAACTAAATGTTGTCCATGAATATTATACAGCAGTAAACATCTTTTTAAAAAATTTCCTTCCAAGAAGGTTGACCAATGTACAAAAGCTTGTTTTTTAAAAACCTTTTCATATTTCAAAGTATCTGAGAAATGAAGCTTTTAATTTTTCTCATGACACTTCCTACAAATAGTCTTGTTATCCAACCTAAATCCAGAAAATATAAGGGGTCACTGAGGAAATATATGTTTTAAAATTTTATCACAAACAGGAGTACCCTGTGCATGAGATAAGTGTAAATAAACATAGCAGAGGATATTTTTTTTATATTCATGCTTTATTAGAAAGTGGAGAAACGATTCCACTAAGTCAGTCTTTAAAATGGCCCTAGGTATCCTCAGGCATATGCTAAACTGCTGCTTTCGGGCAAACAAGGCCAATTCTAGGGGCCAAGTCTTAATACTTTATTTGAGAGAAGCTAAACTGCCAGGTTATTCCTGAATTTAGTTAAGTATTTATGGAGTTTGCTGTAAACTCCATAAATATTCAAAGTCCAGCAATAGCAAAGTCCACTCTAACTAAAAAATAGTAGTTGCCTTGTACTAAGTTGAAATTTCCAAAATTGGCATGTGTTGATTTGACTGATTTTAGACTTTCACTAGCTACTATAAAACCAGTATGTTAGTAATATTTCCTACTGTATCTAGTAACTATGCATAGGCCCAGGAAAAGGACAGGGTAGCTGAGGAAAAACTTCTAGACTTAACTCCACCTTCACTCCTTTGACATGAGAGAGGCAGAAAAGGATTAATAAGTATGATAGGGGTTTTAGACAATATATTATCATGCCATAGTAATCTCTTATTTGAAGTTGTTTTAGTTACAGAAAAGAATGAGCTGCTAAAGAAATAGAATTATTTCATGTTTAACTGGACCCTTTTGAGTCAATCTGCCAGAGATTCAAGTAGACTGCCTAATATTAATTAATAATGTGAGCCAAAATGGGCAAAGTCCTGAAAACCCCTCCAAAGTAGAGACTTTGTCATAGAAAACAAATGAACTTGTGGATACAAGATAAATTTTTAATAAATTGGTAATCTGTCACTGGGCTAATAATCCGCAGGGACACCACTTGTACATAGTTTACATGTAAAAACATTTCTTTAAAAAAAGTATTGTAGCACTCATGTTACATATTATCATCATCTGATTCATCATCTTCTTTCAAAGATTCCTGTTTTAAAAGAAGAATAGTCAGTCAGTATTTGAATACTAAAATGCTTCTTAAATTAGTCTGTGGTTATGTGGAACACACCCATGAACAAAAAAACCTTAACCTGCAACTATACAACTGATGAAAAGCCAGTACTGAATAGTTTAAACACAGGGTCAATCTGTAAATGGTCTCTCCCACACCATCACTCCCAATCTGCTTTCAAAGACCATTTCAAGTAATCTGTTTCTTAATTATTTCCCCTCACATCT